GGGTTTTGTATAAAAAGTCGTGAAATTATACAACTTTAGTCTAAAAGTGTGATTTGATATATAAAGGGGGAAAATATAAAGCACTATTACTGTAATGGGAGCACAGTGGCTCTGTATGATAAGCACTGGACTGTAAACCACATAGTCCGTGGTTCGAGCCAAGCAGCCACTTTGAGGGAGAGAGCAGCTCTCTACTCCTGCAAAGATAGATAGCCTCAGAAACCTTACACAGCCTTACTAAGAGTTGGAACCTGCTCGACAATGTTGTTATAATGGCTGTGCCTTTATAATAGCCTGCTTTGTTGTTAAATGCTGTCAAGTTGGTTTCTACTCATAGCGACCCTATATAGGGTTTCCTAGGAGCAGCTGATGAGCTTGAGCCACCGATCTGCAGTTCAAACAACTTTGCAGTCCAGGGCATTAACCCACCGTGCCCCACCAGGATTTCATAACAGCCTGCAGTGCATCCTTAATTTTGACTTAATTCTGCATTATCATTCAAAGAGTCCCTGGTGGTACAAATGGTTATAGTTTTACTAGATGCAAGAGGTGCCTAGAAAGAAGGCCTGGCAATTGCTTTTAAAGGTTGTTGTTGTTAGATTGTTCTCATTGAGTCGGTACCAAGTCATAGTGACCTTATGCACAGCAGAACAAAACACTTGCCCGATCCTGGGCCAACCTCATTACTGTTGCCACGCTTGAGTCCATCGATGCTGCCACTTGGCCAGTCCATCTCACTGGGGGTCTTCCTCTTTTTCTCTGACCCTCCACCTTACTAAAGATGATATCCTTCTCCAGAACTTGTCACTCCTGACAGTATGTCCAAAGTATGAGAGACGAAGTCTAAAGGTTACTGCCTTGAAAACCATGTGGAGTAGTAGTTCTACTCTGCACATAAGGGGTTACATAAGTTAAAGTTGACTGAACAGTAACTAACAGGAACACCATTAGCATCCAATTAGCTGGAGAGTACTGTGGAGAAAGAAAGTGTTCAGAAAATTTTATTTGAAGAAAAGATACATTTTGGATTAAATATAAGTGAATTGTATGTGAAAAGGTGTTTTTTCTTTCTAGGAACTTTTCATTACTTTTGGTTTGAATTGCACAGAGTTTTTTTTTCCTTTGAAGGGGAGGAATATTGTTTCTTTTTTATTTCTTATAATCAAGGTTGAACCATTACAATTTCTGATTGTCTTTTATACTATATTATACTTTTCCTGAGAAAATTCAGTTAAAATCTCAAATCTAAATAATGTGACTAGAGGAAAGTTAACAACTCCATGACAATATTTTTATATATTTTCCTTTTATCCACTTATTTCATTTACAGTGTAATTTGAACATCTGTTTGCCACTTTAAAGTTATAGAGATGTCATTGATGTTGGATCTGGAGACTGTGAAATTCAAAGCTCTGAAGAGGGAGGGGCACTGGTAGAATGCTTACCTTTTATGCAGGAGATTCAGATTTGTTTTCTAGCTAATGTACTTCGTGAGCAACCACTGCCTGTCTACCAGTGGAGGTTTGCATGTTGTAAATCCTCACTTTCTTTGGTGCCTTAATGGGTTGCACTGTGGGCTGCTAACCAGAAGTTCAGTGGTTGAAACCCACCAACTGATCCTTGGGATAAAGATGAGGCTTTCTACTCCTGTAAATATTTGCAGCTTCAAAAACTAGTAAATTGCTGTGAGTTGGAGCCAATTCCATGGTCAACAACAACATGATGCTGAGCAGGGTTCAGGGGTTTCCAGGCTAAAACTTTCTAGGAAGAAAGGCCGGGCAATCTGCTTGCAAATATCACCCTGAGTCAGGTGTGGACCCGAAGGCAGCTAACAGCAACAGAGCCATTTCTGCTGTAGAGGAGATGGTTAATTTCGTCTAGCCCTTACATTTTCAGATGTAGTCTAACATGTCCATAATTTCTCTCCTCGGTAGAGATAAACTGTTTGTGAATTAGTAAGGATGTGGCTTGTAAGCTTTTACAAGTACAAGTGGCCTTCAAAAGATTTGTGTAAAAATCCCGTTCTCTTTTAATTCCATTTTTCAACAAGCTTTTTGAAGCCCCTCTGTAGATAATAAGGCCAAAACCATGGGGGTATGAGTTTTACATGGACCTCTTCCCTGCCACAGTGACAAGAGCTGACGTTAACTTTGATGATGCGTATAGGTTGTCTGGCTCAGTAGAATCCTCTTCAGAACCTCTGTGTATGTTATCAGGATGTGTTTGATGGTGATACAACAAACCAGAGCCCAAGTGCAAGGACAGTGAATATAGACCTAACTAAAAGGATGGATGTGAGTGGTTTGGGTTTTTTTTTTTTTTTCCAGCAATGAAAGGAGCTCTCGTAGCATAGTGGTTACAAGTTCGGCTGCTATCCTCAAGGTCAGCAGTTGGAAACTACCAGCCGTTCCGCAGAAGAAAGATGAGGCTTTCTGCTCCCATAAAGATTTACAGTCTCGGAAACCCTGTACAGGGTCGCTATGAGTTGGAACTGACTCCATGGTACTTAACAACAACAAAAGGATGGATATGAGTGGTTTTGGGGTTTTTTCCAGCAATGAAAGGGCCTTGCCAGAAATGAATTAAAATTGATATAACCATTCCATATAAGGAGCTTATCTTTTTTTTTTTAATTGAAAGTGTTATAAAAGTTGTAAAGATAAACAAATACTTAATTATATCATTGATATAATTTCCCTGGTGACACTCTACTACTATGAATCAGTGTGTCACCACAGAAACATTTTACAAAAGCACAGAATTATCTATTTTTCTTCATCAAACTCTGTGTGATAGGTTTGGTGGTGGTTAAGTGCCACCCAGTCAATTCCGACTCCTAAAGATCCTAGATAGGGTTTCCAAGGAGCAGCTGGTGGGTTTGAACTACCAGCATTTCAGTTAGCAGTCTAGTGCTTATCCTATAGCACCACACTAGTATATAACAATTTATTAAGTTGACCCCAAATATTTTTAAGTTCCTCTTCTCCCATCTCATAATATTTTTATAAAATTAGTTTGTGCAGTTAGTATTTTTTTTTTCCTGATTGCACATAGTTGTAATTGTTTACAAAGGACTTTGAGTAACCTGTTGATACTGAGAAGAGCTTCCGATGTATGCTTTTCTTTTACTGAAAAACATATGAATGCCTAACAAATGACATCTTTCAGAGCAACATAGGAAAACTAAGTGCACGTAGAATGGACAACTGCTTTCCATCTTTAATAAGAAAGAAGCAATAGAAATTAGATTTTATCTGATTAATGCTATACATTTCTGTAAACATTTCTGCTGCTTATGTAATCTGGAGTGCACTAAATTCAATTTTATATCGAAATAGATGGAGGTTATTTATTTATTCAGCTTTAGTAACTGTTAATAATAAAAGTATTCACTCTTAAGCATGTTCAAAGAAGGTTTTGTATGTTGGTTGGCTGACCCTCCATTTTACCAAGCATGACTGGTCCCTCCTGATAACATGTACAAAGTATATGAGAGAGAAAGTCAGGGAGTGTGAAGGATGTTGAAGATGTATAAAACTTTACTATTAGTATTGAAAAAACATTTATGCACTTTCATTTTTCTCTAGGATTTAAAATATATATATACTTTGAATTAGCTGCTTTCAACATTGAAAAATTGCGCTCGTATAGATTGATGTGTGAATAATGTTTAGTGAGTTAGCTTCATCTGCTGGGTTTAATGTAAAATTGGATTATTTCCATTCTAGAAATGTTTCTTTCACTTATAAACAACTACTCATTGAGATGTAGTATAGAAAAATGTATTTATTTTTTATTATTAAGTAAAGTAACTTTAAAGAGTAGTTTTGTTTTATAGAGATTATGGTTGAGAAATGTTTAGGGGCTTAGTTTACAGGCGAAAAAGATCTTCTGAGAAGATGTCATCTGTGACCTTATGAATTTACATTACTGATAATGAATCTAATGAAGTTGAAGGGAATGGCATTCAACATCTGTAGATAAAATGTGCAGTAGCGAAGCAAACATGGCTTCTGTGGTGTTGCCATTGTTACCCCTTAATAAGAGTTCATGTCCAAGAACTGCAGAGTCAATTCACCAATTCCAAATTAGAAAAAGAGAAAGTGAACCAGTGGGGATTCTGACAGCAAAACAGGCTGTCTTAATGAAGTCTCACCTGTGATCAGTACACTAGAGGCTGTATACCTTTACACTGGAAGGCATAACCTGGGGGAGTGTCACTTGCTTTTCCAGGTGGACTCCATTACTCAAGTCACAAAATCATCACAAGATGTTTAAATGTCGAACATGGCAATCAGATAAAGCAATTTCCTTTGAGGTCTTAACAACCGTCCAGGCAGATTTGTCCAGAGGGCAGCACACAGTATATCTATCCCTGAGCAATACAGAAAGTTATAAAAACTCCACACACAGACTGGGGTGAGGAACTGGGCAGATGCGGTATGGAGTAAATTAGGCTAACTACAAACATGGAGTAAGTTAGGCCCATCTTGGATGATGATACTTTCATAGGTTACATATTTTCCTTTTTGAAGTTTGGGTCTTAATTAATTTTTACTGAGCTTTATGTGTTGGTTGTGACTGGTTGACATAACCCCTACAAAAAGTTTGGGTCGTCTTTTGTTTGTGGCGTACCTGGAGGGTTTGAACCACCAACTTGTGGTTAGCAGCCAAAAGTGTAACCCACAGTACCACCTTGCACCAAAGGAAGGCTAACTAAGAACCATATGCACCTGCTCCAACTCACCTACAACTTGCACTGAATGACTTAGGAATGGATCTTGTTTATAACCTGAGGACTGCCTGTATAAAGTTATATATGAGTAAACTACAGGAAATTCACAGCTTTGGCTCATAAAACCCTTCTCTTTATTACCACACCTTAATTAAGCAGTATAGAAAACACATCTGCCATAATTGTTCTGGGAAGCTGAGTCTCCAAGTGAAGGGATGATGATAGTTTCAAGTGCAAGCGTCTAACCTGCTCCTTTGTCTTTCTCAGGTTGCCTTCTTCAGAATGATTCCCTGCAGAGCAGCCCTGTCTTTTGCCCGATGTCTGATCCGGAGAAAAATTGTCACTCAGGACAGTCTAGATGATACCAAATTATGCCGCTGCTTATCCACAATGGACCTCATTGCCTTGGGGGTTGGAAGCACACTTGGTGCTGGGGTTTATGTTCTTGCTGGGGAAGTTGCCAAGGCAGATTCTGGTCCAAGTATTGTCGTTTCCTTTCTCATCGCTGCCTTAGCTTCCGTGATGGCAGGCCTTTGCTACGCTGAATTCGGAGCTCGAGTTCCCAAGACGGGGTCTGCATATTTATACACATATGTTACTGTGGGAGAGCTGTGGGCCTTCATCACTGGCTGGAATCTCATTCTATCTTATGTGATAGGTATGTTTCAATATCAATCTCAGTGGTATGGAATGGTAGCAAGATCATTCCCAGTTCAGAGGCCTGGGGTCCTGTTCTAGTCTGCATGGAGTCAGCGACTATCATCTTGAGGGAGATAGTTGATCCCTGTGTGCCTCGTTTATCTAATCTCAGAGTTCTGTGATTACTGAATATGCCTCTTAGTGAGTATGAAAACCTGTTGGTCTGTGTAGTTTAAAAAAAAAAGCAAACACTAGTTATAGGTTGATTATTGTTTTTAATATAAATAAGGTTATCTGATTCCAGAGTTAAAGAATTTGATTACTGTTAATGTAATTATAAAATTATCAAGATAATTTCATATGTGTTCAATTTTCAATTCTGTGTGAAGGAACCCATGTTTATCCTAGAACAGTATAGGAAGCGTTGTTAATTTTCTGCCACTGACTGTAAGTGTTTTATGTTTTGGGAAGGTACGTCAAGTGTGGCAAGAGCATGGAGTGGCACCTTTGATGAACTGCTTAGCAAACAGATTGGCCAGTTTTTCAGGACATACTTCAAAATGAATTATACCGGCCTTGCAGAGTACCCAGACTTTTTTGCTGTGTGCCTTATATTACTACTGGCAGGTAAAAAAATGAATTATACTACATCCTATGGTGAACCAAAATAATTCTCCTAGGAAAAGAGGTTACTACTGAATTTGCGGTTGAAGTTACTTAGATCTGCACATAGTTGTTGTTAGGTGACATTGAGTCGGTACCGACTCATAGCGACCCTATACACAGCAGAACAAAACACTGCTTGATCCTGGGCCAGCCTCACTACTGTTGCCATGCTTGAGTCCATCGATGCTGCCTCTTGGCCCATCCATCTCATTGGGAGTTTCCTCTATTTCCCTGACCCTACACCTGCACATAGTAGGGGGCTTCAAAAAGTTTGTGGGAAAATTCCATTTTCCAAGAACTTTTTGAAGCCCCCTTATATATACGTGTATGTTATTGTTGTAGAATTGTGGGCCTATTCTTGTCTGGATACTCATTTTAAATTAAATGTGTTTCAAAATTAATTTAAATTGTGTGGAAAAGAAAAGGAGCACTTCTGAGTAAATGGTATCTGGACTGCACCATATTATAGGATGGGGCACTTCAGTTACATAATACTAGTTGGAAGTTTATAGGAATGGCAATGGTGTGTCAATAAGGGAGAATTGTATTTCAGCTTGTTAGATATAACTAAGGATATTTGAAAACATAATATTTCAGAAGAAACGTTATTTTTCTTGCTTTTATGGCTGCATCTATGTAATTGTTAAGACATCCGGTTGCAAAGGAAGAATATTCAAACCTCTTATTTACATTGTAGATATGATGTAGACTGCAAACACTGCATTTTGGTAGTTTAGAAAGGACACAAGAATTAGAGTCAGGAAAAAAGAATATAAGAACTGATTTTCAATCCTACTCTGCAACTTTTTGGCTTTGTGACGTTGAGTGACTTAATCTTTTTATGACTCAGTTTACTCAGTTATAAAACAAGCATCAATACTTACTCATACAGGCTTTTTGTTGGATGTATAGTAAGCACTTAATGGTAGCTAGTACAGCCTTGTAAAGAATTACAAGGCTGTACTAGCTACTTGTTTTAATTCTTTGAACATTTTTTTTGTTTTGTCATCCCTACCTGTACTGTTTAAACTCATCAGTGACTTGCCATTGCACTTAGAATAAAATCCATGTTTGTTGTCATTTCCTACTTGATTTACCCTGAATAATCTGCCCTTTGCTTTCCAATTCAACTTCATCTATATAGCTGCTTTCTTTCTGCCTTGATTACCAAAGAGTGTGATAGAAAGATATTTCTATTATAAAATTTTTACTTGCAAAATTATCTAATTTAAAAAATAACTTTACTGATGTAAACGTTAAGAGTGGTTAAAAAAGTTTTATATGTGGGTTGAAACAGAAATGTCAGGTCTAAAATAATTTACATTATGCCTCTAATATCAAGAAAAAATGTATCTATTATCATTTTTAAAAGGTGATCAGGATTCTGTTTGTTTCTAACCTGCCTAGCTAATGTTACGTTATTTACATCATGGTTTTTTAGGGATAGTTTCAGTAAAGTTAAAATATTTACCTTTAATCTTTAAATGATGAGACGCATGTAGCTATGCAACAATTGTTGTTTTTGTTGTTAAGTGCCATTGAGTTGGTGCCGACTCATAGCAACCCTGTGTAGCAGGTGTGGGGAACATCTGGCCCTGGGCCATCTGGCCCTGTCAAGGCAACCACAGTTCCAGCCATCCCTTTAGGGGTAAGTTAATTCAATGTTTGACCAAATATAAAGGCTTATTTTTAAGATCATAATTGTGTATGGCCCATGAATGATGTTATAAATATCCAAATGGCCCTTGGCAGAAAAAGGTTCCCCATCCCTGCTGTACAGGGTTTCCAAGGAACACCTTTGGTGAGTTTAAACTGCTGACCTTGTGGTTCAAACCCACCTTGCGGTCCCATGTGTATCCTACAGTGCCATACCAGGACACCACGATTAGAATTGTTAAATTCCATAGCAAGACACAAGTGTGGCCTTCATCATTGTCCTGACTTCTCTACTGTCATATCATTTTCTTAAGAATTAAACTAAGGACCCTGAGTTTGTGCTAACCCAAAAGTTGGTGGTTTGAACCCACCCAACTATTTAGCTAGATGGCCTTGTACACTGTTTCTGTAAAGGTTACAGCCAAGAACACTATAGAGCAGTTGTACTCTGTAACACATGGGCTTGCCATCAGTTGGGGGTTCCCTTGATGGCTGCTAACAACAATAATGGTTGGCACAGTGGCAGTAGCAATTGGCTCAATTGTAGTAGCAATTGTAAGAATGCCTCAGAACCAGGCAGTGTTTCGTTCTGTTGTGGGTAGGGTTGCTATGAACTGGAACCGACTTGATGGCACCTAACAACAATAATAGCAATAACAAATATTGGCTAAGCTTTCATAATGACTCTCTTCTTAGAATCTTTGAAGATCAAATCTTCCTATTTAAATATCCATACTGTAATGACAAGTCTTGTCAACTGAAGCTGTCCAAAGAAGTACAGGTTTCTAATATCCCTTGCTATCTAAAGGTAGAACATTCTTTTGAATCCTTTTGTGAGTCAAAATAGCTTAAAACAAAGAAGCAGTCACCATTAATTTACTTGGGAAAAATTGTTGAGCATCTCGACACCCAAAATGTAACCTACCAAATCATATAAAATATACATAAAACTTAAAATGCCACTAACATATAGTAAAAGCAGGGATGATATGATAAATACATACCTATGTGTTGGAAGAAGTTTAGCCAGAGTGCTCCTTGGAAGCCAGGATGGCCATACTTTGTCTCTCATACTTTGGACATATTGTCAGGAGGGACCAGTCCCTAGAGAACAATATCATGTTTGATAAGGTGGAGAGTTAGAGTAAAAGAGGAAGACCCCCAGTGAGATGGATTAGCACAGTGGCAACATCAGTGGGCTCAAATGTAGCAACAATTGTGAGGCTGACCTGGGACCGGGCAGTGTTTTGTTCTATTGTGCTTAGTTAGGGTCACTATGAGTCAGTACCAACTCGATGACACCTAACAACAACAACAGCAACATCCAAATCCACTGCCTTTGAGTTGATTTCCGAGGCTGCAAATCTTGACAGGAGCAAAAAACCTCATCTTTCTCCTATGGAGCAGCCGTGGGCTTGACCTTGCAATTAGCAGTCTAGTGCTTACCATAGCTTACATAAAATAAAAATAATGCATGTACTATAGTGTTATTTATCAGAATGGGAAAGATGACAGTTACACTGGAAAGCTGGGAGGTGGTGGTGGTAATAATGGCAGCCCTGGTAACCTTATCTGACAATGAAACATGGAATTGGGTTGAAGGACTGGGGTTTGAATCCTGCAGAAGAGTGGGATTTATATAAGCTGTGTATGCTGAGGGATGAGTCTTACCGTTAGAGAAATGCACAGGGAATGTGATTTCACGATGCATGGTGCATTTATATATCACCCAGACTCTTAGTGTGGTGCTGTAGGATCAGCACTGGACTGTGAACCACAAGGTGGGCAGCTGCTCCTCAGAAACCCTATACAGGGTTACTATCAGTCAGAACCGATTCAAAGGCCCTTACCAGCAATAACAACAGGTTATTGATTGGGAGTTTGTGTATAAAGGGTGGCAACACCACTCTTACTGCTGGGGGTGCATGCTGCCTCTTTAATAATACACTGCAAAACTAACACTAAACACTCTCTGCCTTATTTTTATAAAAGTGAAAATCATCTTCAGATTTCTTTTGGTTAGTGAAAGCCGATACTAATGTAGGTCTTTCTTAAAGTGAAGCAGTATAAGCAAAGCTTCAAAAAGTCAGGGATACCTATATATGCAGACTTTAGATCTAGAGGAACATATGGGGTATTGAGAAACTTGTACTACATTGTACAAGTAAAGGTGTTTCTGGAGAAAGATGCGGCATTCTGCTTCCATGAAAGATGTACAGGCAGTTCAACTCTGACCTATTAGGTTGCTGTGAGTTGGAACTGACTCAAGATCAACTGAGTTTTGGGTCTAGTTATGAGGAACAAGCAGGCAAACATATGGAGTAATCCTTTCATAGCAGTCATTTCCCCAGTTGTAAAAAAATAAAATATGTAAATATAAAAGATGTGAATTACGGACTTAAAGTTTATTTCCCTAGGTCCATAGGGTTCCAGGGTCCCAACTCTCACTCAACCTTTAGGTTAGCAACTAGTCATAATTGTATGCATTAAAGATAATGAATATAAAAGTATCATGATAGCACTAAAAGGAAACAAAGATAAATGTAGATTAATGTTAGGGAAAATTCTTCTAAAAGTAGAAACTAAAGAGTAATAATTATAGATCAGATTAGTACAATTCTAAAACTTTCCTACATAAATAACCAACATTTCCCAAATTATGAACTGGAAAAATTCCTTGGCAGAGTTTAAAGCATTGCTATACAAAGAACTCATACAAATGAATAAGAGCAAGAAGAATACGCTAATAGGAAAAATGGGCAATTTAAATTGGACCAAACTTTCTGTAGACTATTTGGATGATACAAACCAAAAGCCCATTATAAAAATGCATACCCTTTGACACAGTATAACTGGTAGAATATTGTTGTAAAGAAATAATGTACAAAGAGATTTATAAAAAGATAATTATATCAGTACTGTTTAAGTTGTAAAAAATTAAGAGTGACCTAATTGTCTCACGCCTCTCTGAAATCCTGTTTAGGGTCACTATGAGTCAGAACCAACTCCATGAAACAAGACAGCACCAACAGTTTTCTGTAAATAAAAGATTAAAGTTTAAAAAATTGTTGACATTGAGTTGATTCCAACTCATAGCTACCCTAGAGGAGAGGGTTGTTGTTACGTATCATTTAGTTTGTTCCGACTCATAATGACCCTGTGTAGGGTTTCAGCCAAGAACTGCTGTATAAGGTTTCTGCAGTTACAAATCTTTACAGAAGCTGACTGTGACATATCTTTTTCCCACAGAGTGATTGTTGTTTTATATTGCAATCAAGTCGGTTCTGACTCATAGCAACTGTATAGGGTTTCCGAGGAGCGAATGGTGGGTTTGAACCACCGATCTTGAGATTAGCACTCCACTGCTTATCCTACAGTGCTACATCAGGATTCCAGTGGAGAGATTAGTGGGTTCAGACTGCCCAACTTCCTGGTGCTTAATTACTGTGCCACCGTATTAATTACTGTGCCACCATGTAGTAGGAGATAATGTGGCTGTTAATTAAGGTATTTGTTGGCATGGAATTAGGGGAGGGGTGTTTTGCATATGCAAAATTCTGGAGTTGATATTTCCAATTTTTCTTTACCTTCAAATTATTTAACTGGGAAATGGATTACCTTTACAGTCCGAATGTAAGATAAAATCCAGAACAAACCAGTTAAAGGGCATTCTGACCCCTGGTGCCTCTATGTGTTTACAATACAACTGGTCCGCAGGGTTTTCCTGGCAATAGTCTTTACTGAAGCCTGTAGGGCACCATTGGGTGGGTTCTAACCACCAACATTTAGGGTACCAACTAATCACAAGCTGATTGCACTGCCCAGAATCTAGAATGTAAAATGAAGCTATTATAAAATGAGAATAGGTTTTGCAAAGTACTTTTTGACCCAACTCATGAAGATTGTTTTCTGATTATCTGTTCAAAACTCACCACAGGGCAGATACATGATTGAGGTTTTGCTTTAAAAAATTTAGCAACCTAAAGAAATTTGATGGAACAGCTGGGGACACTGGACTCAGGGAGGGATAGGGAGGGACTGTGTGCTGACGGCCAGGGGGGCAGGCCTGTGGGGTGTACCTTGTGGTTGTTTGATGATGTATGGAGGGGATTGTAATCATTGC